TGTCTGCCCCCACCCCCTCACCCCCTTTGCCCCCTCCTCTGGGCTCCTGACTCTTTCTGCAGCCTTTCTACTGCTACTCCCTGGCTCCTAACTGCTGTCTTTCTGCCACACCCCTGATCTTCTGGTAGGAAAGATCTACACCTAGCCTTCTCGGACAAGGGCGAAACATCTCGGAGGACCCGTGTGCGAGTTGCGCATGTTAAAGATCCCTTGGTGGTCTAAAATCGATAAGAGTAGGCTTCGGCCGCCACCCGGGCAAAATTCAAAATTTCCTACCAACGAAAAAGTATTAGGTGTGTCCCGCGCGCTCATATGACCTTATGCAGTTGCGAGCGCCGTAAAACCCTATACTAAACAAACAAAACTTGCGCAGAAGTGGTTTCAGCTTTTTTCGTGTTTGTTGCGCTCAAGTCGACGGACTACAAAACGCGAGATGGTTGTTTGGCTCAGTTCGAATCCAAAGCTCAGCTTCCAAAACACTTTCTTTTGAAGCATTTTAAAGTCTAATAGTTGAACTACCGTGCAGTGAACTGTTGCGAATGCAACCACCTTGTGTTTTGCGCGTTCATATGACCTTATGCAGTTGTGAGCGCCGTAAAACCCTATACTACTGGCCAAGAATACAATGTTTCATTGATTAATTTTTTTTTTGTCGAATGTCTGATTTCACCGCGATGCCTCATGTACAAAAAACGTTCAATAAATCAGTGAAGATCTCGTCGGGGCCTCCCGTAATAATAAATATGTGAGGCAGCGTGGTGGAATCAGGCTCTCGTCAAAATAATCAAAGTGAAGAAACGTGCTTTATTCTATTGGTTTGTGAATTTTATCAATTTTTTGTTTTTTTGCTCAACACCTTTCATGCCCATTAAGGGGGGGGGGGGGGGGCTACACCTGGAGGCTATCTCGCTTATTACTGGACCGAATTTTACCAACTTTCACACATACAACAAGCATAGTAAGGAGTCTTAAAATCCGCAATCAAATTTGAGAAAAAAGTTTTGTTTCCATGGATACGCCGCCATATTGGATTTTATTGACATGTCTTACGTAATGAATACCGCACTTATCGCTCATGGAAATTGATTGGGTTTTTTTTGCATGCGTGTTCACAAAGATAAGATCTAAAAATTTGTCTGTTGCTTTTTTCCTAAACGAATTAGAAAATTTTTAATGATTTTTTTTCCTGAGGTAGCATTCAAGTTTGCGAAAAATCCGTGAAAATCCACACTCCAGACACCACCAACAAAAATCTATTCTATATATCAAAAATTCAACAGTCAAATATTTAGTATTACCTCTTCTCTTCACTCTGAGAAAATTTCATGAAGATTGGAGGAAAAATGGTGGAGTTATTCAAAAAAGTATAGAGAAAAGTCGCGTTTTGAGAAAGCGGCCGATAAAGAAAAATAAAATACTGACTTTATGAGAAAATTGCGGTTACAAACATGCCCGGTATGGGAAAAAATACGGTTTTTGGGAGTTCTTATGAGATAAAATAGTTGTAGGAGAGGCTGAGGAAGCTAAAAATGCCTACAACTCAAATTCCATGAATTTGAGCCGAATTTTGACTTTGGGGGTGTAGCCCCCCCCCCCCCCTCCCCCCCCTAAAGAACTCATTTCTGTGTGGATTTTTCGGAAAAAAAAGTTGATTAAAGGCACAGAAAAAAAAGAAATTTTCAGTTACCACGGACTCTTAAGCTAAGTAGAGGGTTTTACGGCGCTCGCAACTGCATAAGGTCATATGAGCGCCAAGGGGTGGGTGTCAGTGTCAACAGAGGAGTCTTTACAGGGAATCAGACTTAGGCCTACTCTGATCACCTCTCTAGCTTCAATAGCACAAGGTCTGCTTCAACTATCAAGGCACCCCGGAAATAGCAGGTCACTAGAGTGTGACAAA